GGGCCAGCAGCCATAACAAACTTCCAGACTGAACTGAGCTTCTGTTTGACTGCACAGAGTATCAATGCTCACATAGTGCAGAGGGGAATCTGGGTTATACAGAGCAATGTCACGCAGGTGGACATGCCTCTAGAAGGGGCTGGTGGTCAGCCCTGGGATCAATCACTGTCAGAAGACATAGCTCCTAAAGGCTTCCTGGATCTGTTTAGTGATGGTCTCGGTACAGAAGTGGCCAGCAACATAAGCATCAGTGGCAACTTCAGCATAGTCTGCCCCCAGGATTCCTCTAGGACACAATGCTGACCTCAGCAGGGTTTTCAGTGGAAATAATGGCATGAACTGGCAGCAGAAGCTTTGCTTGTGTCCTCTTTAGATTTATACTCTGGATACTGCATTGGTCAGGGTTCTCTAAAGGAACAGAACTGGTAGAATGTGTATATATATATATATTCATTATATATAACAATTTATGTATTTATGTATAATTATATATTACAAGGGGATTTATTAAACTGGCTTACAGGATATGGTCCATGTAGTCCAACAGAGGCTGCCTCACACTGGAGAGACAGAGAATCTGGTAGCTCCTCAGATCAGGAGGCTGGATGTCTGAGCAGTCCAGTGTGGTGCTGAAGGCCTGGAGTGTCCCTAGAGAGCTGCTGGTCTTCAGTCTACATTGGAAGCCCAAAGAAGCTGGTTCTAAAACCAGCAAAAGAATGTCACAGCAACAGAGTAGATAATCTGCCAGCAAGAGTGAAGGCAACCAGGCAAAAAGCAGCTTCTTCCTTACAGGACCTTTTATCTGGTCTGCCACTAGGTGTCACCCATATTTAGGGTGGGTCTTCCCTAATCAAATGATCTGATCAAGAAAGTTCCTTGCAATATCCAGTGGCTTTTCAGTTTTAGTTGATTCCAGATCCAGTCAAGGGGACAACCAAAATTAGCCATCAGAGGTATCATCCCTCTTCCTGTTGCCAGCGTACTGTTCCTCTGTAAGTCAAGGTTGCTGCCACCTGTGGTACTTTTCTCATTCCTGACAAGAAGCAGCTTAAGGGAGGAAGGGTTTATTTTGGCTAATAGTTGAAGGGCACAGTCCGTTATGGCAGGGAGAGCATGGTGGCAAGCGTGTGAGACTGTATCCTCATAGCCAGGACCAAGAGGATGCAGAGAAAGGGAAAATGCTGGTGCTGGGCTCTTACCTCCCCGTTTCCCTTTCCTACTCAGTTCAGGATTCCAGCCAATGTGATGTTGTCACCCACATCCAGGGCAGGCCTTACCCTCTTAGTTCATCCTCTCTGAAAGGCTCTCACTGATACACCCAAAGGTAGGCCTCACTAATGCCCCAGGCATTTTCAAATACAACCAAGTTGACAACAGGTATTAATTAAAACACCACCTCAGTGGGCTCTTGCTGTAAGGAGTTTGAAGAAAGCCTCCTTCATCACTGACAGGATCAAGGGTGCTGGGCATTGTGAATGTTTTCCTTTATGACAGAAATCAAAACAATGGAATATGGGCCCCTCCCTAAGTAGTCTAAGAGCAGTTGACTTTTTATGTTCCTTATTTGCTCTATTGGTGCCACCTGGAAATCCTGAAACCCTCTCCCCATCTTCTCTCTTAACACTTCAAGTCTTTCTCAACTCTTTAAACAGACTCTAACTCCCCTTCTTCATCCTTACCACCTCCCAAATTCACATCCTCCTCTCCAGTGTGGGCCTTTGTAACCAAATGGTCTATCTAAGGTGTCCCTGGTGACTCCACTGTCAACTCTGTCACTGAACCACGCAGTCCATGTGGCTGCCAGATGTCTAATGAATAAAGTGGATCACACTTCTTTTAAATGCCGCTTATGAAGGGAAAATTCTGCATTGCCCAAATGGGTCTCACCTTTCTGAAACTCCCTATTATAAACATTCTTATAGCCAACTATCAACCTCACTTTGCAACTCAGGACCTGAAGCTGGTTGCCATACCTGGCTTCTCAGAGGACATTTCTACACTTCACTTTCCCCTCACCCCTTCCTGTAGTGATCTCTTTTCTAGCAGAGCTAATTGCATTCTGAGTCCCCCTGGACACTGTGTGTCTAGCTTTATTAGAGCTGTATACTGCACAGCGCTGCTTGCTTTTCCCATTACCGAAACAGAGAGCAGGGTCTCAGTCTTATTTAAATTCGCGAAGGGCCTACAGCTAAATGTTTGTTCTAAATCAAAAAACCCATTTATAAACCCTTCTTGCAAAAATGAGTTTTCTTCATTTTCAAGAAGTACTTTTATATTTGCTAGCGAGAAAAATGCTTTATAACTATCATTGGAATTCCAGAATTCAGAATAAGCCAATACACACACTGTGGTGAAGTCTAATAACACTGTTTTAATAATAGATTGTTTTGAATTTTAAAAGCATCTTATGTGCTATATGTCTTCTATTAATTCAGATATTCTTTGGAAAAAGAATGTATTTAGGAAATGTGTGTGGTTCTCCCTGCCACCAACTTTGAAACTGAAGTTTTAAGGGTCGCAGATTTAGCTCAGTGGCACAGCACTTGCTAAGGAAGCACAGAGGCCTGGGTTTAGTCCTTAGCACTAGAGGAAGGCAACAATCACAAAACTGAAGTTTTGGAATATTTTGATTGAATATTTAATATTTCATTTAAAAGAGCATACATTTAATGGAAGGTACAAAATAAAATGTGTGTGTGTGTGTGTAGGACATGTGTGTATGGGTGCTCTTGGAGGCCAGAAGAGGGCTTTTGATTCCCTGGAGCTGGAGTTACAGGTAGTTGGGTGCCCAATGACAGGCACTGAACTCCTGTCCTACGTAAGAGCAGCGAGCACTTTTAACCACTGAGCCACCCCTCTAGCCCTCCTTTGCAAACGTATTTTAAAACAGAGCTGTGTTCACTATTAGAATTTTAAATTTTCCCTCACTTAAACCTATAAAAATCCAGGACAGCTTGGGCTACAGGGAGACCCTGTCTCAAAAAGACCAAAAAAAACAAACCGAACAAAACAAAAAACCAAAAAAAAAAAAAAAAGCTATAAAAATCTTTCCATGTTGTAGCATACATTTAAAATTGTTGCCAGGTGTGGTGGCGCACGCCTTAAATCCCAGTACTGGGGAGGCAGAGGCAGGTAGATCTCTGTGAGTTCGAGGCCAGCCTGGTCTGCATAGTGAGTTCCAGGACAGTTGGGGCTACAGGGGGACCCTGTCTCAAAAAGACCAAAAAAAAAAAAACCCCAAAAAACTTACTGAAAATGTTTCAGGTATAGCTTTTTACATAGTTTTCCCATTTTTAATTTTTGTATCTTATAGATATTATTCTAATCTAGTTTTTGCTCTATTTCAGATTATTTCCTTCAGAAAGAATCCCAAATATGGGATTGTGTTCTAAGAGTTACAAACATTCTTAAAGATTGAATCACTATACCAAATTGTTTGCTGAGGTTATTTCAGTTTACACTCCCACTCACAATGTTTGAGAGTACCCTTTTTATCTTACTAACTTGAATACTGTCTTTTACTCAAATATTTACTAATAAGATAGCCAGTTGAAATGTTATAACTTATAGTGTATTTGCTGTTGATTGGATAAGATCAAGGCTTTGGAGTCAAATACGCATTTGGGCTTGATCATGGTTCCACCACTTCCTAGCCAGGTTACGTTGGACAAAAGGCTTTTATTCATTAGCTTATTTTAATGCCAATAAAAGTTTTCACCCTGAACCCAAGGTTTTTGTAATCATTAAAGGTAGGCACGTGAAAGCACATCACAGTGTTCCTGACACAGGACCAGGAGGGAGTCCTCCATTTTCAGTTGCACAGTGTACCACAGACTTTTGATTAGTGTACCATTAAGCAATTTCCATAGCATGTCTACTGTCTTTAACCTTGTATCCAACAGGCAAAGCTAAACAATTACCAGGATAGTTCTTGCACCCTTGGAGAGATGGTCAGGAGTATTCCTTTTATTCCTTAGGTGGTCTCCAAAAACCACATAAGCCTGTTTGGTTAGGAAGCACACACCTGGTTTCCATCCTTGAGGAATTTGCAACCTAAAGATTTCTGCGCTTAACCCTGAGTCTCTGGGGCTTTTTTTTTTTTTTTTTTTTTTAATTGTTTAGAGAAGTCTCAGAAGGCTATAGTGGTAACTCACTTAAGAGGAAGCTTAGTGAAAGTGATCTGGAAAGAGTTCCTGGAAAAGCTACTCTCAGCAAAGGTAAATCTAAGGCGGCAATGATATGAATTATGTGTTCTATAAAAGTTAAGTACACTCGAGTTTTATTTGAGTTCGTTCACGAAAGACTAAACAAAGCATTGCAAACGGAATGAGGCAGGTTAATTAGGTATGTACTCTTGCTGTTTGTACAATCATGGAAGTTTCTCTAAATCCCAGTAGAAAATACGCAGTGCAGGCAGCATTCAGGCAGCATGGACCTTCTCCACCCAGAGGCCAGCGGTTGTCCATCTGGTGCGTGGACCATAAAGAGACTAAGATGGGTAAGGTTCACTTTTCCCAGTCTAGAATAAGGTAGGTTTGAGAGCTGATGGGCCCTGCTTCCAACTTTTTCTTCTTCACCTACTCCTCCTAACTGCCAAAGAACACTCATTAACAATGATCACATTAAAATTCACACTGGATTGGGGCGGTATGCAGTGACGTTTGGAGGGAACTTAACTGGAAAAAAAAAAAAAAAAAAAAAAAAAAAGGCAAGCTTTTCTAGTTGGTTAAAACCTATCCAAATAAACGCTCGTTGTCGCAAATACGAGTTCCACCGTCCAGGCCCACTAGTCCCTCCCAGCCCCGAGCTGGGAAGCCCAGCTGCCGAAATGCCACCCCGAGCTGCTCCGCGCGTCCTCCTGGGAACAGCTCCTCCGCGGGGGCGCTGGAAACGCCCTCTGTGAGTTCCCTGGCACAGCGGGAGTTTCAAGTTTCCTCTCGTGGGGGAGGCGGCGGGCTGCACGGCTCCGCTCCCCGGCGGGCTTGGGACTCGGGCTGCGGGGTCCGCGGTGCGCGGTGCGCGGCGCCCAGGAAGCTCTCCAAGGCCCGAAGCGCGACCCGAGCCCCGGTCGGGCGGGACCGAAGTGGTCGCGGAGGCCGCGGTGTGGGAGCTCCGGCCGCGGCCTCGCCCGCAGACCGGCAGCGGGAGGAGGGGGCGCGGGCGGGCCCCGCCTTTCCCCCCCGAGGAGGCGCCGGGCGGCCATATTGCCGAGCTGTCTGCGGCGGCAGCGCGTCTCCTCGCAGGCGGCCCAGCGCTCGCGCCACCGCCTCTCCGCTCACGCCCCCGCCGAACAGCGCCCCAGCCAGTCGGCGGCGGCTCGGGAAGGAGCCGTTCGCTCGGGGTAAGCCGTGCGCCGCGCTCTGCCCCCAGCCCGGCTCCGCGCGCTCTCCCGCCGGGACGCGGAGGAGACGCCGAGGTGGCTGCCCGAAGTTGTCCGGCTCGCGCGCCGCCCAGGTGTGGCGCCTCCGGCCCGGCCTGGCGCATCTCCGAGAGTCGCTGGCGCCTCGCGGGCCGATAGGCGCCGCGGTCGTTAACTACTCAGCCAGGCCGCTTTCCCCGAGGCCGGAGCCCTGCGGTTTCGGGTCCGGCGGACGCGCCTTGCTCCTCCGCGTGGCACCGCGTCTGCTCTCGGCCTCAGCCCCGCGGTGGAGCAGGGTCGGGTCCTGCAGGCGTGGACTGGGCCGCGGGCTCGGCCGGGCGCGTCCCCCGGGGACTTGCAGCGTAGGTGGAACCAGGGGAAGGCCTGGGTCGGACTTTCTCCCCGGCTGCGGGGTGAAGTCGGGTGTTGAATTACTAGACAGCGTGCGTTGCGCCCGGGTCCCGAAGGCCGTCGCGCTGCTCGGCTTGCCGGTGCCCGGGAGGCCAGGCCCGTCTCCCCGACCCCCGGACTGCGGCCGGAGCTCTCTGGCTCCCTGGGCCCTGCAAAGTTGAGCGCTCTGCCTTCCCGCGGATCTGAACTCTCTCCGAGCTGACTTAGAAGGGGCAGTACATGATTCTAGTTGATAAAGCACATCTGTTCCTGCACAGATGTTTAAACTCTGCCAGTATTCTGGGGTTTTGTTTTGTTTTCCTCCTTAAAAGAGTGATTATGAATGTGTTAAAAAGTCAACTTTATAAAAATCATGTCGTCAAATACAGTTGAGATTTTGGATAGAGGTGTTAGCTCGGAGCCCCGTGGCAGTGGGGTGGCACCCGGACTTGCATGATGTCCATGTAAAAGCCCAAAATAATAAGGGTTTATTCGAAAAACGAGTTCTTGGACGTAGACATTGCAATCGATTGTTGACTGAGCATACTTCTTTTTTTTTTTAGAACACTTTCATGACAGAGCTCAGAGTAAACAATTGCCCTGTTCATTTTGCTGTATAAATAATGGCTAATCCGTTTGCCAAAACTGTATCATTAGATCTGAGGAAAGAGACTAATATTTAGGATTGCATGTTTTAGGAGATTTTCAGAATTTGTGTTGTACCAGTGTGCATTTATCTTTTATAATAATAGTTTATCTCAACTATGACAAAATATAGACTCCTTTTGAAGTTAATACGCTGTGAAAAGAATTGCACTGATTTCGTTGCTTAATCATTTTTAAAACTATATTTTGGGATTTTATTAACAGTTAATATTAGAGATAAGTGGACGCTGGGATTCTTTAGAGCTTTATTTAAGTAAAAAATTTGATTATGAAACTTAGAAATTCTAAGTTTTTGCCTTCGTGGGTCATACACAGTATTTTCTTCATTCCTGTGTTCACACACAAGAGAATATAGAAGCAGCTCAGATATTTGTACAATAGATTTAATTTTGGTGTCGGGAGAACATACTGAATCTTAATTTGGGGGAAATTGTAATTCCTTACCTGGAAATTAAACTGGTTATTTTCTATGTGATGGTAAGAAATAACAGCGTTTGCTTTTCTCTCCTGCTAATTGTCAGTAGTCATAGGGATGGGAGCAAGGGTTGTTTTTTGTTTATTGCTTCACTGTTCCCAAGAGCAGAATTGGATTTTTATTGTTTACTTATCTTTGGCTGGTACTTGAAAGACTTTATATATTTTTATTTAACTTTCAGCTCTCAGTCTTTTAATATAAAAATTACAATCTAATATACTAGAATCTGAAATGTTGAATGATAAGGGTTTTGAATTTTCATCCATTTTTAATTTAATGCTTTTTTTTTTTTTTTTGGTCTTTTTGAGACAGTGTCTCCCTATAGCCCCAGCTGTGCTGGAACTCACTAGGTAGCCCAGGCTGGCCTTGAACGCACAGAGATCCACCTGCCTCTGTCTCCCGAGTGCTGGGATTAAAGGTGTGCGCCACCATGCCTTGCAATTTAATGCATTTTAACGAGTCATTTAAACATGGGGTGGACAATCCTCACTATTTTTTCCCAAGATCAAAGCTTTAAAATAGTGTCCAGTCGAGGCTGTGTAGACAGCAGACCTGGTAGAGCCTATCTTGTAGGGCATAGCTAGTAGAATTTCCTGGTGTTGCTGCAAATCCAGGAAGGAAGTCACTCTTTTCTTGGATGGTGTGGGCCTCCCACAGTCAACGGTGGGCACCATTTTACGGCATTGGCATCCTGGATATGGAGATGGATTGAGCTGGAATAGCTTGCTACTCTACAAGATTAAGTTTCCTGACCATAGGAGTCACTAGAGGGCATTGTCGGAAATCCCAGACTGCTGGAGCTGGTGGATGCTCACCTCTTTGGTAAAGGTGCCCGGTTTATCTCAGACAGCTGTTGTACCTCTAGCCTGTTTTAGAGAAATTCCATCTGTCCTATTCATTAAGTTTCTGATATATTTCTTAATAGTCATAATAATGTATATCTTAAAAACTACAAAAGTAGTATTTTATGGTAAAGTTATGAAATCCAAAAAGTTAAAAAGCTAAAGGTAAATACTCTCTTTGCTCCCCAGAACTTCCCAGCCCTGTTTCTCATAATGCATTGCTATTAGCAATTCCTTGAAAACGTATATAGAAAACACCAGTACGATGCAAGGACAGGCATACTTTGCCCCTCATTTGTGAGTCTCAAGACTGTCAAACTAAGGTTATGTTGTAACAGATACTGAAATAGTGCTTACTATTTATGTTAAGCATAAGTAAATTGTATTTTCTTATTTTGACATTTGAATTAAAATTACTCAATGGAATTTTCTCTATTAATTTTTACAGGTGTTTGTATATGTGCATACTTTCTTGATTAATGATCAGTGATGAAATTTATGATTTTTTCTTTCTAAAGTGTAGTTCAAATTGACAGTAAAATGATGCATACACACAAACACACATACACAAACACACAAAATGATCTTTTTAAAAATAAATTTGTTTAATAAATTTGTTTAATAAATTATTTTGTATGTATGAGTGTATTGCCTGTATTCATGTAAGTGCACACATGTTGTGCAGTGCCTGTGGAGGTCAGAAGAGGGCATCAGATTCCCCTGAAACTGGAGTTACAGACAGTTGTTACTGCCATGTGGGTGCTGGGAATCTAACCTGGGTCCTCTACAAGAGCAGCCAGTTAAGCAGTCTCTCCAGGCCCCTAAAATGCTATCTTTTAAAACAAAAGTATATGATTTGGGATAGTGACATGTCCATATAATATGTATCTTTTTATCTAGAAACATTTTTAGAAAGGAACAGTGGTCTATATGATTCACTTTTTTATTTCTTCATTTTTAAATAGTGGACTCTAGTGTCAGCTCCTAGAAAACATGGGGGTTATATAGCCTCCCCTCCAGGAGCCATAATCCTTACAAATTCATCAATTTAGAATATTTAGTTTTAGCCAATGGTACATGTTACAGATTTGCATATGAGTGAACTTTATATTTTTCCTTTTAGTTATCTTGGTGACCTTTTAATTCTAAATTACTTTATTAAGCTTTATATATATATGTGTGTATAT